TAGCAGCAACACCGAGCAAATCATCAAGGAAATGGAGAAGGACATTCTGGAAAATTTCCTTGAGGGATTGCCTGAACGAGTGGCTTGGAGGATTGCCACCTTGGACCGCAAGTTGAAGTCCTTGGAGGAAGCCTACGAGGCCGTGTTGGAGATCGAACGCCGCTTGAAGAATCGACGTCGAATTCGGGAAGCAGAATCACCGCGACGTTTTAAAGAGGATTCTCACAGCTGGAGATCACCAAGAGACTCTTACCGCAGGGATGTGTACCCTCGCTCACCGTCACCTCATCGTAGGATCTACACGCGGGACAGGAACACATCTGGTTCGGAGTCGGAGTACGGGGAGAGCCCTACGCGCGCAACGGCAATGACCTTGCGTAAACAACGCCATTCACGCTCTCCGGGACACTCTTCAGAAGTGTCAGAATTCGAGGAGGACCCTCGAAAAGAAGTAATAGACATCTACCGATACTATTGTAGAAACTGCAGTACGATCGGGCACAACAGCGATAATTGCAGCAAACCACGACGCAGCGAAGACTACCAGCCACGTCGACGCACCGAGGCAGCGAGAAAGACTTCATCACCGAAACCGATGAGGAAGCCTTTAAACTCGCATCGCGCTCATCAAACCGGCGATACGATGAGCGGTCAGGACAACAATCGCCGAAGGACCGTCCGTTTCTCGGAGGAAACACGGAACGCCGAGTCAAGGAAGCACCAACCCCACGTATTAGGATCAAGGTTCCAGAACTGGAAAAAGGAGAAGGAGAATTCCTAATCGATGGAGGAGCTTCCGTTAATGTAATTGTCCTGGATACTCTAGGAGAAGGGGCAATTATTACTTCAAGAGAGAAAATCACCATAGCGGGACTAGCATCAAGTACCATTCAAACCTTAGGTACTACCACTTTGCAGATTCATGGATCACGCACAGAATTCTACGTGGTCAAGGATCTACCCATTCCTGTGGATGGACTTATAGGGAGCCCATATCTTCTTCAGGAACAGGCCGAAATTTCATACTATCATAAAACCTTAGTTACACGCAACCGTCCCACTAAACCGATTTTCTTCAGTAACATCGCAGACATGGAGATACGTCCTCGATCACCGATCAGGTACTGTCTTCCAGGTCGAACGGTAAAACAAATCTCTATACCGATCGCGAACCCAGATATCGAGGAAGGATATCTGCCGCGGTTGATGTAAAACAAATCTCTACCGATCGCGAACCCAGATATCGAGGAAGGATATCTGCCGCGGTTGAAGACACCGAAAGGAGTTTTCATCGGCGAGGCAGCAGTCTGCAACCGCGATGGAAATTGTTATGTACTTGCCACGAACACCGGAGAAGAAGACATCGAAATGGACATCGAGCCACAATTCATCCAACCTTACGAAATCTTCGAATCATCGGATGAAGATCTAGTTACGTCGTATTTAACTGGAGGACCACCTGAAGATCGAATAACTCAAATTCAGAAGACTTTGAGGACCGACCATCTCAATACGGAAGAACGTCAACACGTATTTCATATTGTTGAGGAATTTTCGGACAGATTTTACCTGCCCGGAGATAAATTAAACAAAGTACCTAACTTCCATCATTCCATCCATGTAACAGACGAAATACCGATCAACACCCGACAGTATCGTTATCCACCTGTACATCAAGAGGAGATACAGCGACAGGTAGAAGCTTTACTCTCTCAGGGAATCATCCAACCATCAACCTCACCATACAACTCTCCTTTATGGATTGTTCCAAAGAAGTCAGACGCTGAAGGTAATAAACGTTGGCGCATGGTAATCGATTTTCGTGCACTGAACGAAAAGACAGTGAGCGATAAATATCCATTACCACAAATCATCGAACTTTTGGACAAACTAGGAGGAGCCAAATACTTTTCTGTATTCGATTTGGCGAATGGTTTTCACCAGATCGAGATGGATCCAAAGGATAGACAGAAGACTGCTTTCACCACACCGCATGGACACTTCGAGTTTGTACGGATGCCATTCGGTCTGAAGAATGCACCACCAAATTTTCAACGTCTTATGGATCAAGTACTAACTGGCATGCAGGGAACAGATGTCCTCGTATACCTGGATGACATGATTGTCGTCTCTTCATCGTTACGAGAACACGAAATTAAAATTAAAAAACTGTTTAATCGCCTCAGAGAATTTGGACTTACTCTACAAACTAGTAAGTGCGAATTTCTGAGAAAGGAAGTTGTCTATTTAGGACACATACTTTCTGCCGACGGTGTTAAACCTGATCCTCGAAAACTGCAAGCTGTAAAGAATTTTCCTATTCCAAAAACACAGAAAAATATTCAACAATTTCTGGGATTAACTGGTTATTATCGTCGTTTCATCAAAGATTATTCTTTGAAGGCAAAACCACTAACTCAACTTTTGGGAAAAGGAATCCGTTTCAAATGGACCGAAGAACAGCAGAAGAGTTTTGAAAAC